ACCAATGCCGTTTCCGTGCTGTATCCCGGCCTGAAGCCCGACTGGAGCGGGTCCAGATAGACTGTTTCCTCCAGGTGTCGAGGGAACTGCTGCGCAACCACACTCTCAACAACCTTCGCCACAAAGCGAAGGTTGGAGACCGGGCGATAGTTAGCCAATACATCTGGGTCCAGGGAGGGCTTCTTAAGGAGGGGCCTCAGATTTTTTGAAGGATCACAAACCTGAAGCCAAAACCAATATAAGTTGTCTGTAATGAAAGTAACCAGAAAATAGTGTTACTGTAGTCAAATACTTTAAATTATTTCAGTTACTCTTTTCTTCTCTTTTTTAAAAAATTGTCATTCCTGTTTTATGTGCTCCCTCCTCCCTCAATCACTGCTGATCATGAATTTTCAGATTCCTTTCATCCCTGGAAGTGATAAATCAGAAGGTAGGATCTCTTCCAAAGAAATAAGTTGTAATGAGAGGCAACTCACTTCATCAGATATAGGATTTAAACTGGAAGGTCCACTTAGCTTTATTAAAGCTTTATTGCTTAATTGAGATAGAAGTTTTTATTAATGCGTTGAATGCATGCTTTTGTTTTGTTTCATTTTGTTTTATTGTGTTGTATTTTATTCTCCATGTGTGTGTGTGTGTGTGTGTGTGTGTTTGTTTGTTTGTGTGTGTATGTGCATAATTCAATTTACTCTGACAGCTGCTTTATGGAATCCCCAAATTTGTTTCCATGGGGCACCTTTTAGATGAAACCCAAATATAAAACCAAAGAAATTAAGGCATAAGATAAAAAAAGAAAAGAAAATGTAGCTAAATCTAATTTATATCAGCATCTTTATTATTATATATCTCTATATCCTTGCAAACTATCCTTGCTTCTACTATTTCCATATACCAATTCATACAATGTTCTTTGTTCTTAATTCTTATCATTTCTTTATTCTTGAGGAATTCCTTAACTCTGTCCAACCACAACTTGTTTGCTCTTCCCATTTCTTTATTCAAATATTTGTTTTGTGGTTTGATTCTCATTCTCCCTACACGATTAGATGTCATCAACAAGCTTCTTTCATAAATGTCATTGGTTTCTGAGACTAAGCAAGAATCAATGTTTGTTTCTATTCTTCCTTAGAAAAGATCATTTCCAACAATAATTTAGATGATTCAACTATTTTGTTTTACCCTAGGAATAAACTGTGGCTTCATCCTATTTCTTCTGATTGGAAGTAAATCAAAAGTCATAATATATGTGTTTTGGTTTCAGTAGTAAATAATAACTATAAATTGGCAAAAAGGAAAACACTTCGGTGGGCTACTTAATGGAGACACAAAAGGAGACCCCAAGTGGGCATCTTCTGGGCAACGGTAATGTCACTAGTTGATCCTTTCACCATGGAAGTGTTTTGGTGCTTTCAACAGGGAAGTATAGTATAAGGAAAATATTTCCTTCATTTTTTGTAACTTATATAAGGAATCACACCTATTATTTGAACAACAAATACCAAATTTCACTTGCAAAATATAACAACTATATTTGAACAAGTACAATTAATTAATGAATGTGCATTTTACTTTCTCCCCAGGGCTTGCTTAAATACAG